AGGAAAGACATTTCAAAAGCAATTCGGCAAAATATTACCCCGATTGGAAAAGTGAATATGGACACAATGAGGGAAAAACTAGAGACCAATATCCTTGGGGAACATGGTATAAAAAATTCTCATAAAATCTTTGCAAACCACATTCAACATCACATTATAAAAGAATATACAGTATCAGGCATGGTGGTATAGGTCTATATTCTCAGAAAGGCAGGAGGTTGTTTGGCACACTGTAATTTCAAAGCCAGCCTGGGCAATTTAGTGAGACCTGTATCCAAGTGAACAATAAGAGGGGCTGGGGATGTGGATCAGTGGCACAGTGCTCCTCGTTTGAGTCTCTAGGGTCACATACAAAAAAACAAAAATTATACATGATGATCAAGCTGGTTTTGCTCCAGGATGATTCAATACATGCAAATCAATAAAACTAATACACCCCATATAGAATTAAGGGCAAAACTACAGGATTATTTCAGCGGGTACAGAAAAAGCCTTTGACAAAATTCAATGGCCCTTCATGACAAAGCCCTGAGGAACTAGAACTAGGAGGAACTTATAATAAGATAATAAAGACCAAGTATATCAGATCCAAAGTCAATAGTATTGTCAACAGGAAACTTTTCTCTAAAATCAGGAAAAAGACAAGGATGTTTATTGTCACAACTCTCACTAATCACAGTACTTAAAAGTTTAGACAAGAGAAAGAAATAAAAGGGATTCAAACAGAAAAGTTAAAATATTAAATTATCTCTATGTGCAAATGATTAGAAGATCATAAATGTTATACCATGAGAATTCTAGTTCTGATGAATAAATTCATCAGAGTAACAGGATACAAAATAAACATAAAAATAAATCATTTGTTTATATACTAACAGCAACACTGGTGAGAATGAAACCAGGGTAACAGCTTATTCAAATAGCTTTAAAAATAGCTAGGAATAACCCTAACCAAGAAAGTGAATGACCTGTTCAAAGAAAATAACAGAGTAATGAGAAAGGAAACTAAAGAAGGCAATACAAAGTAGAAATATCTCCTATGTTCATGGAGAGGTACAATCAATATTGTGAAAATGGCCATAGTACCATAGGTGAATTATAGATTCCATGTTGTCCAATTCAAATTCAAATGATTTTCTTCACAGCAATGGGAAAAAAAACCTACTCCTAATTTTTATGGAAGAAAAAAAAAGACTTAGACAAAGTGATGCTGATCATAAGAGCAACAATAGATATAACACAATGCCCAATTTCAAAATATAAAACAGAGCCATGGTAACAAAAACCATGGTCCTGGTGCAAAGAAAGACCCATAGACCAATGGATAGAAGAGAAATCAGAGAGCCAAACCCACACAGGTACAGTCATGTGACTCTAAGCAAAGATGCCAAAAACATCTTGTTGGAAAAAAGACAAAAGACATTTTAGAAACAGTGTTGGGAAAACTAGATATCCATATGCAGAAAAATAAAACTAGATGCCTATTTTCTAACAGTATACAAGAGTTTATTCAAAAAAGGATTAAAGACATAACTACCAGACTAGAAACTACAACAACTAGAAGAAAATATATGGAAAACACTTCAGTAGGTAGGCAATGACTTCCTGAATAGAGCTCCCTATGGCTCAGGAAACAAAAGCAACGATAGATAAGATGGAGTGCATCAAACTAAAACCTTCCTGCATAGTAAGTGAAACACATAGCAGTAAGAAGACAGTAACAGTAGCCTCCAGAATGGGAGAAAAGCTTTGCCAGCTACTTTTCTGACAGATGGTTAATATCCTGAAAATATTAACTCAAACATCTTAACACCAGAAACACAAAAACCTTTTCAATCAATAAGCAAATGCACAGCCAGTTCTCAAAATAATCAGTACAAATGGCCAACACTTAGGTGAGAAAATGCATAACAACTTTACCAATCAGGGAAATGCAAATCAAAACAACATCAAGCTCCCATTTTCCACCATTCAGAAAAGTAATCATCAAGAAAGCAAATAACACTAGGAAGAATTTAGAAGAAAAAACTCTTATATGTTCTTGGCACGACCACAAATTATTATAAATTATTATACCTCTATGGAAATCAATATGAAGGCTACTCAAAAAACTAACATAGACCTACTTAATGATCCAACTATACTACTCTTCAGTATTTATTAGAAAATATTTAGGGGCTGGGGATGTGGCTCAAGCAGTAGCGCGCTCGCCTGGCATGCGTGTGACCCGGGTTCAATCCTCAGCACCACATACAAACAAAGATGTTGTGTACGCCAAAAACTGAAAAATAAATATTGAAATTCTCTCTCTCTCTCTCTCTCCCCCTCTCCCTCTCTAAAAAATAAAAATAAAAAAGTTTAAAAAAAATTAAAAAAAAAAAAGAAAATATTTAAAGTCAGCGTTCATTAGAGATACACATATGCTCATCTTTACCATGACACTATTCATAATAGGCAAGTTATAGAATCAGGATAGATGCTTGTAAAATAAGACAATGGATAAAGAAAATGTGCTATATATACACAAGGAAGTTTTCTATGCGTAGATAACAAAATGAAGTCAATTTTAGGAAAACGAATTAAACTGGGAAACATCATGTTAAACAATATGAGCCAGACTTAGAAAAAACATATCATATATTGCTCTCATATGGAAAATTAGAGGTGGGAAATGTTCAACATGAAAATAGATGGATAATAAATTTTATCCATTAGCGTAGATAAAATTGGGAGTATGGAAATGGTAATGGGCAAACTAAAATCCATATGCAACAAAATGAAATTAAACTACTATCTCTCACCATGCACCAAACTCAAAGTGGATCAAGGACCTAGGAATTAAACCATAGACTCTGCATCTAATAAAAGAAAAAGTAGGCCCTAATCTTCATTATGTGGGATTAGGCCCCAACTTCCTTAATAAGACTCCTATAGGGCAAGAATTAAAACCAAGAATCAAAAAATGGGATGGAATCCAACTAAAAAGTTTCTTCTTGGTAAATTTTTACCCCTCACACATCAGATAGAGAACTAATGTCTAGGGTATATAAAGAACTCAAAAAGCTAAGCACCAAAAACAAACAAACAAACAAACAAAAACCCAAATAACCCAATCAACAAATGGGCCAAGAATCTGAACATACACTTCTCAGAAGAGGACATACAATCAATCAACAAACATATGAAAAAATGTTCATCATCTCTAGCAATTAGAGAAATACAAATCAAAACTACTCTAAGATATCATCTCACTGCAGTCAGAATGGCAGCTATTATGAAGACAAATAATAAGCTTTGGTGAGGATGTGGGGGGAAAAGGCACACTCATACACACAGCTGGTGGGACTACAAATTGGTGCAGCCAATATGGAAAGCAGTTTGGAGATTCCTTGGAAATCTGGAAATAGAACCTCCATTTGACCCAGCTATCCCTCTCCTCAGTTTATACCCAAAGGACTTAAAAACAGCATACTACAGGGACACAGCCACATCAATGTTTATAGCACCAAAATTCACAATAGCTAAACTGTGGAGCCAACCTAGATGACCTTCAGTGAATGCATGGATTAAAAAAAAATGTGGCATATATATATATATATATATATATATATATATATACAACGAAATTTTACTCAGCAATAAAAAAAGAATAAAATCATAGCATTTTCAGGTAAATGGATGGAGTTGGAGAAGATAATGCTAAGTGAACTTAGTCAACCCCAAAAAACAAATGCCAAATGTTTTCTCTGATATAAGGAGGCTGACTCATAGTGGGGTAGGGAGAGGGAGCATGGGAGGAATAGATGAGTTCTAGATAGGAAATAGGGGAGGGAGGGATAGGAAGTAGTCAGGGGATTAGCAAGGATGGTGGAATGTGATGGACTTCATTACCCAAAGTACATGTATGAAGACACAAATTGGGGTCAACATACTTTATATACAACCACAGATGAAAAATTGTGCTGTATATTTGTAATGAGAATTGTAAGGCATTCCTCTGTCATTTTTTTAAATCAATAAAAAAATTGGGAATAGAACCTCTGGAGGTTCTATTCTTCTAGAGGAAGGAATGTTCAAGATATGACTGGGGGAGTATAATTGATCTATATGTACATACAAATATGCCACAGTGAAATTTTGTGTATACTTAAGGCGCAATTTTTAAATTTTGGCTATCTTTTTTTTTAATTTTTAGAAGTTACTTTATCATGTTCATTACCCTATTACTTGTTTTGATTAGATTTATATTTTTCTTTGAATAGCAGTACCTATTTATATGTATTTTTTATTTTATTGGTTTCTTTTTAATTATATGTGACAGTAGAGTCCATTTTGATATAATTCAACAAGCATTGACTATCTTAATAGTTTTAAAACTATATTAACTGGTGCTAAATATAAATTACTTGAAGCTTTAATAAGAACAGAAGCAAAGAAAACATTGATTTCTTAAGTATCTAAAATATGCCACATTTATTTGCTTATTTTTCTATTCATTATAATCACAAAATGGTTGTGATGGTAATCTCACACCCTGCCTCCTGGTCATTCAAGAATATCAAAGAGTAAATGATAGACATATTTGACACATTGTTGTATATATCCAGCATGTACTTCTCCTAAACATTCCTATGTTTGGCCTAATATTGAGTTGCTGCTCCCCTTCATTTCACTACTTCTTATTTTAAATATCAGCCATCTTGACTCTTTTATTCAATCTGGAAACTTATCCTTTCCTTCATAAATGAATTCTTCCTATGCATCCCTTTTTCTCAGCTTCATATTCATCAAGCTCTTCTTCTGCCTTCTTTTCTATTTCTTTCCTTCCATAAGGGCACACCAAAGAAGTGTTTATTCCCACCACATTCTGTCAGTATTAATTCTCTATATATACCTCACCTATTGTTATCCTTGTTTTTCTATTATAACTTTGTTATAGGATGTTTGTCATCATGGAAGGTGATATGTGAAAAAAAATGGAGTTTTTAAAAACGCATTACCTTTGAGTCAGGTGATGGAAAGAAAGGAGAATCATTCTTTATTCTGATTGCCTGCACCAGTGTGGTTTCAACTACTTCCTGCTTTTGACTGGCAGGGGTACTGCTGTCAGGTAAGTTTTCACTCCTTTGGTTCCCAGTGTCATATTTTGCTTCTGACAGTAAAAACAAAATAAACAGTATATAAAAATTCTGTAATTTCAAGTCAATAAGCAGCACAACAACAGGCAGTCTTCAAATAGCTTACCATCCTTCGTGGATTGCCTGGAAGCTTTAGTTAATTTTCCTCCTTCTTCCAGGATGTTCTAGGAAGAAAAAAAATCGATTAAGGTATAATAAAAAACCAAAGTTGATGAAATAATTAATGTTCTCTACTATTGAAGGGTATATGAGAAAGAGCAGAGGTTTCTGAGTCATTCCGACGTATACTCAAACTCCAATTCTCTCACTACTAAGACATACCTTCTCATGGGGTAAGGATTATGAGCCTTGACAGAGATCTCCAAAATGTCACTCCCCTTATCTCCAACTGATTGTTACACAAATACTGAAATCCATTATACCATTTTCTTCAGCTGAATTGATGTAGGATAAACATTGTAGCCATCTGTATTTAGACTACTTTTGAAAAATGAGTAACATTTTGAGAAATTATGTGTGATATTTTAAGGTGTTTTTATGACTTACAATGGCATGAATTATCTCTTGAGGGGAAAACATAAGACATGAGCTTTTAGAGTATCTATTAAATGAGATTTATTGGATTCAAAAACAGTAGAAGTTTTGTCCATCTTATGTGTTAAATAGCTAAAGATAAATGCTCATACAAATTTTGCTTCTTCCAAGAAAAATAAGAATGAAAAAAGCAATCTTGTGGGGGCAATATCAATGAATAAAAACAACACAGAACTGCTAAACAGAAACATTAACTCAAACCTTGGTGACAGAGATGGCACAATGAATAGACACTGAAGAGATGTTTTCTGCAGGGAACTATTAAGTATTAAAGTAAGTTGTTGTTTTAGAAAGGGATGTATGTTCTTTTTATTCCAGTACCTTCATATAATTAAGTTAACAAAAAGATATAAAATATTTTTTTAAAAAAAACAGGTGGCACTGCCAACCACATCACCAGGTTTGCTTGGCATAGTTAACAAGACACTGAAATAAGTCGTTTTTAAAAAAATAAGAGAAAAGGAAGAACAAGCAAATCTTCATCTAAAGTCCAAATCTAAATTCAAGTTTGAAGCAGGCTTGGAGGATATTCTGGTTCCTCCTTCCATATTTATGACATTAATCTAACTTGTTTATTCCTCCTTTATGGCACTAATTTGAGATAACTTACTCAAACTTTACATCCCATATATTAAAAGAGAATAAAATTTAAAGCATGTTTTTTAATTCAGTAGGCTTAATTACTAGTTATCTCATGCATATTATATTACTTAGGGCATTTCATTAAGTAGACATTTATTTTGTCACATTTACTCATGTTCAACACTATATATAACATCAGCTTTTAGAAACGTGCATTTCTCCAGGCCAAATGAACTCATTTAATGTAAATAATAACATAATAGCATTCTAAATGGAATACAGTATGATAGATGTATACTTATTTCCCCCAAAATAAAAATTATACCCTTCTTACTCACATAATATTTAGCTCTTCATGACTGAAATAAAATTAAAGTCTCTTTAAAAAAAGAGAAGTCTTTTACATTTGAAACCTTATTCTAGCTGCTCCAGGATATTTGCAAATATATTTCCTAACTTGGAATAATTCATAAAAATGGTAGAGTTTTACAATGAATATTTAAATCACTAAATACAGAAACACCTAAAATTTAAAATTTCAGAATGTGACATAGGATTTGATTATTTCAAAGAACAATAATTCTGAAAGTTTTACCATACAATTATTGAGAGTCTCTGCTTCCAGAACTGGTTATTACTTTGCACAGGCCATCTATTTTTTGATTAGATGGAGAGGAAATTTTTAGAAAAAGTTCATTACCTCACATTTGTTTTTATTTTTATTGGTCCTTTTCAGTTATACAGCACAACAGAAGTTATATACTAGGATATCATTATAAAAGCACAGAATAAAATTTGTTCTAATTCAGGACCTAGTATTTTCCCTCTGTTCTACTGATCTTTCTGCTACTTATTTATAGTTTTTAAAATTAGTGTCACTTTTAGTGGAAAGACTCAGAAAGTAAGGATATGCAAAAGCCCTTTTTAATACAAGTATTAAGATACAAATCCTAGATTTCTGACTTGCTACAATTCCTAATATTATTTTAGTATAAATATAGAGCCAAGGATAGAAATAGAGAAAAGGCTCTCCTAAAATGTTATGATACTAAAACATCAAGGGTCCAAGTAAAAAAAAGCAACTTGCAATGTACATCATACATTCCAAACTAAAGGCACCAGGGAAATCCCAGGATTCTATAAAAATTAATTTAGACATGGGTTGTAAGTCATGTAAGTATGATTTACAAAGGACAGTAATATAAACTGACTACTCAAAAGATCCTTGACTAAATTTCACATTTCCTCTGCAGTTAGAAAGCTATTCCTAATGCAATTTTTCTGTCACTATGTGTTTTCCAGCCCATCTTTCTCCCTGCCCCCAAGACACTCAGGTACTTGAGAGAACAATGATACAAACAACTTTTTAATTCAACATAATTCTCTAAAACAGATTCTTCTTAGCAAATTTTCATATAAAATGTCAGAAAAAAATATAGCTAAATTTTAAGCATTAACACCTTAAAATACAAAATTCAGAGCAAGAACATGAATTTCACGAAAGATCACTTTACCTTAATATGAGCTTCATAGTTACCCTCACCCTTTGCCAGGCAGGAATCACCTGGATCAGATTTTTCGGGAGATCTTTAGAGCAAAAATGTATAACAAGAATGGGTGAGTGGTTTTCTTTTTAAAATAAACTCTGTTTAACGTTTAGGTAAAATTTATTAAGTGGTATTTCTTGATTGATATAATTAAAATATGACCTCTTTTTCTTTTTTTTAAAAAAAGCTCATATTTACCTCATTCTGCCTCTACTGCTCTGAATCTATGAGATATTCAATGAAGGCACTCTTAGTTCCAGTTCACAGTGATAGCAAAACAAACCTCTGATAACCCAAGACAAGGTAGCAAGATGCACAGTTCCCTCTCTTGGATATCCATGAGTCAAATACTAAGCAAGGTGGCTTGAAAATAAAAGACTTCCTTCTTCACCATGGAAGTCACCAATAAAACACCCTGTTGTTTCCCCTTTACCCACAAGTAGTGCAGTGAGTTTGCTGAAACTTTTTAAAATTTTTGAAAGTTAAAAAGTGAATATATATGCTACTTAGAGTATTTTTGTCAGGCACATTGAAATAAATTATAAAATGGATTTTTCCTGTATAGGTCCCACTTTATTCAGGTCCACATAAATAAGCAAGCACTTTAAAACCTTTATACACACTCAGATACTCAAGGGAAAAGACTGCCAGAAAAGCAGAGTCTTGGGTAGTTGTACCTGTTTCCCTGAGTATTATTCTAAATGTCCTCCTTCCTCTGGGAATCCATTCCCCAGTCCCTCATCTGCAGGCCTCAGTGGCAGTCTCCAAACTTGAAATCTACATCTCATGAACATGCAGATTCCTGACACAAGGTTCAACTAAATGGAGGCCAGTGATTGAGGCTGGCCTCAGTCTAAATACGTTACCAACTACTTAACTGGAGCTGTGTAATGGCTTTGCCTGCCAATCATTCCTGTGCCCAACACTACATGTACATTGTAAGGGCATCAGCAAGTTGAAAAGAAAGTGGAGGTGAACGGACACCCACTTTGGGCCACAGATCCATATATTCTAACAAATTCTAGTGCCTGGTTCATTAGTTACTAATCCATTTTTGAATCACAGAGATGCAAACAGGAAAAAACAAAACAAACAAAAAAATACAACCTATCAGAACTTCCTTTAAATACTGTATATATTAATATGCCTTTATAGAGAGCTTTCAATATTCTGCACCCTTAATTCCAGTTTTGTGTTCAAACTGATCATAAACCCCACAATTTTGGTCTCTTTTCTAAAACCCTTATTCCTCCTACCCAACAGTGTTGTTACTCTTCAGAATAGCCCTTTCCTTCATTAGTTACATTTTGATCCTCTACCACTGTGTTCACTTAATAATTCTATTCTTGTCCTCTTTATTTGGGTTCCTACAGTCAATCCCCATTCTATTATGAAAACATTCACCTTCAAAATGATATCTGAGCTTAGAATTCAGGAACCAAAGTTCAAATCTCATTGTTGCCACTTTCTATACCCAGAAAAGTCCCTTTAATATCTTTAAATTTCAGGTTCATCCTCAAAACAATGATTTGGCCAGCCTGTCAAACACATGCTGAAAGACTAGAGGGTACTTTGACTAGTTGCTAAAATTCCTTAAAAATTCTGAAATTCTCTGAACTTTTGATTTTGTCAACAGAAAATATTCAAATGACAAAATAAAACAAACACCAAGGGAGCAATACAGAAAATAAAGATAGAAATTAAACAAAAGATTACAGTCATAGAAAAGAAAAAAAGAGTATAAAAGTAAAAGTCTTCATAAAATGAACAGGGGTAGTAATTGAAGGGAAACCAACTAGAAAATCAGGAAGCAGAGAAATCAGTTAGAATGTCCTCTAAGGATTAATATAATTAATAAAGCATTGTCGAAACAATGGTATTCTTCACTTCCAGAAAGATAATTTCTCTCCAGCACTTGCCTGATCTTGTTTATCAGAAAACCATATGGCCATAGCTCTGTGAGATTTTCCATAAAAGCTTTGATGTGTTAAAAAAGCTGGTTACCAGTGGAACTGTCAAAAATGTCAGGACAAAATCTTGGACTACAACTAGGCTTCTCAGATAAAATGTAAATCAGAATTAACACACAACAGCCTTTGACTTCTGAATTGATACATCTTGGTATCAACCTGTACAGTGGGGCAATACAGTCGAGTTCTCAGCCAGGTAAGGCTATAGTCTCATCACGGGCCTGATACTTATTAATTAGGAGAATATGGAACAAATAGTCAGCCTCTATGAATGACAGCTGCCTTATTAGTAATTAACAGATTATAATAGCACAGGCATTTCCAAAGTCTCCATGAGACAACTTTAGGAAACAAATGTTAACTGAATGTGGTGTCTGTCCCAGACTAGAACACTCAGCAAATACTTGGTTCCTTTTAACTTCACACTCTTAGTTAATAGACAATTTTTTTAAACCTATAAATTCATACCTTATTAATGCGTCAGCTTTAGAACTTTC